GAAAGAGAAGAGAGGAGGAGAGAGAGAGAGAGAGAGAGAGAGAGAGAGAGAGAGAGAGAGAGAGAGAGAGACAGAGAGAGAGACGAGAGGAGAGAGAGAGTGAGAGACAAAGAGACAAGAAATAGACAACAGAGAGACAGAGACAGACACACAAACAAACAGACAGAGAAAAACAGACAGACAGACAGACAGAGGGCATGCGCGAGGGCAAGACACAGCCATAGGCCTCCCCGTCTCCCCCGAGAACCGAAATATATTCCCCTCACACCGGAAAGCGCATCTTCCATCCATCTTGGACAACGGCGCCCGTCCATATTACCGCACTATTCTGCCCCCGCGCGTGTACTCAACCGGGATCCTGGGGTGTGGTTTGCCCTTCGCTACTCTGTGTCTCGTGGGCGTGTTTTATCTTTTTTTACCTTTCGTTTTTTTTTTTCTTTCTTTTAGCTGCGACGATTTTTTCTTTCTTATTTCTTCTTCTCTGTTCGTGGGTGGTATCTTTCTTTTCGTTTTTTCTTTTCTTTCTTTCTTTCTTTTAGCTGCGACGATTTTTTTTCTTACTTTTCTTGGCTTTTCTTTCTTTTCATTCTTTTCTTTCTTTCATTCCTTTTTCTATAACTTTCTTTTCTTTCTTTTTAAGCTTGCGACGATTTTTTTTTCTTTCTTTCATTTCATTCTTTTCTTTTCTTTCTTTCCTTTCTTTTAAGCTCGACGGGTTCCTTTCTATCTTTCTTTTTTTCATCTTTTCTTTCTTCTTCCTTGGCTTTCCTTCTTTTCTATTTTCCTTCTTCTTTCTTTATTTCCATAAGCTTGGCGACGATTTTTTTCGTTCTTTTCTTTCTTTCCTTCTTTTCTTTCTTCTTCCTTTCTTTCCTTCTTTTTCTAGCTGCGACGATTTTTCTTTCTTTCTCTTTCTTTCTTTTAAGCTACGACGATTCTCCCCACAAGGAGTGTGTTTAATGAAGTCACGTGGTGTAGAGTTATCGAGGAGTTAGCATGAGACGAGCTCATTTCCTTGCCATTTGTTGTCTGTCTTGTCTGTCTGTATTCTTATTCTTTTGTCTGTGTCTGTCTGTGTCATGTTCTGGCTGTGTGTGCGCGTGCGTGCGTTGCGTTTGTTGTTTTATGTATGCTTCCCTTTCTTTCTTTCTTCTTTCTCTCTCTCTCTTCTCCTTCTCTCTCTCTCTCTCCTTCTCCTTTTCTCTCTCTCTCTCCCTCTCTCTCCTTTCCTTCATCTCTCTCTTCTCTCTTCCTTTCCTTCCTCTCCTTCTCTCTTCTCTCCCTTCTCTCTCTCTCCCTCTCTCCAAGCGTATGCGCGTGCGAGCGTGTGCGCGATGCATCACCACCGCCTCGCAATTAAATAACTACTATTGCAACAACTAAAAGCATTTAATAAAGCTGACGTGCAGTATGATGCAAGCGACGCACATAGTCAAATGCGGGTTTAGTTCCCGTAGAGTTAACTCGAGACCGACAGCACGGGGGGAGGAGGAGGAGGAGGAGGAGGAGGAGGAGGAGGAGGAGGAGGAGGAGGAGGAGGAGGAGTGAGGAGGAGGAGGAGGAGGAGGAGAGAAGGAGAAGGGAAGGAAAGGAGGAGGAGGAGGAGGAGGAGGGAGGAAGGAGGACGAGGAGGAAGGAGAGGAGGAGGAGGAGGAGGAGGAGGAGACGGAGGGGAGAAGAAGAAGAA